CATTTCCGTAACGCTCAATACCGCTACCCGGATTCCGATCCGATGTTACTCGATAACTATGTCTCATAGCTATCGAGATAACATGAGCGTGCCCTTTTGAACCATAAGCATCCCAACGGAACGTGGAGGTTCCAGTTGATTCAGAACGAATCCCTAATCAGATTGAAATACCACCTTCCGAAGATGGAAGGGGAAATGTGGATTTACTTTCTCTCACGATTTCATCATGGACTCCGCTGTACAGTTTGCACATAGTAATTTTTCTTTCCCGTAATGATAGAGTAGAAAAAGATATTGTCACTATGATCTTAGAGAAGAAAGTAGATAAGGAAAAAAAAAATTTTCTGATTTGGAATTCTTGTAATTCTTAGCTTACTATTACTCGGTTATCTTGTATTCATGTTTATATATAAGGAACTCAATAAGAAGGGATAAATGAGTAAAGTTGTAGAAAGAATAATGGAATACAGGTAAAGAAGGAAATTTGAGTAATGTATGTATATGTTTGAGAGACATGACAAAAGTGTTTTGAAATTTCAAATGTCATTTAGAGGGACATACGTAGGGTCTTTCGCGTCCTCTTCTTCGAGAATTTCGTCTTCTTTACTGTCATATATGATTTTCAGCTCATCCTTGTCAGAATTGTTATCCTCCGGATGCTGTGTGCTTTTCCAGTTCTTCTCTTTTCCCCAATGGTTCAGTTGATGACGGGCTCCGACATCCGTGTTCCGTGAAGGAATATTAGACAAGTTTCTGGAATAAATCTTCAAGCTGTCTTTGTGGACATCTTGAAGCTTGCCATTAGAATTTTGAACCTGAACTAAACTGCCATTCACGTTCACTACTCGGAAAGGACCATCAAAACTTTTGCGTAATTTGTGGCCAGGTTTAAGATTCTTTACGGCGATCATGACGAAATCATTCTTCTTCACATCTTTCTCATTCACATTATGTTTCGTATTATACTTCTGTACATTTGTTTCGGAAGCTGTGCGTAATTTGTCATAAATGACTTTATCGAGTATGGAATGTTCAATATGTTCTGCTGTGTTTTTGTTCGTATGAGTGGGAGACAGATTGATCAATTGACATGCGGCAATCTCTTCCAAACAATGCACATACGGTGATATACCTGTCGTAGAGCTGGGTACCGTGTTTAGAGTGTGTGTAATCTTTGGTAAGAAGAGGTCCCAGTTACTGAGGTCCTGATTTACATAGTGGCTGATGCATTCCTCCAGCGTACGATGTAATCTCTCGATTTGGCCATTTGCATTTTTCTGATGTGGTAAGGTTGGTTCATGTATTATACCTGTATCTTTGCACATTTTCGCGAACTGACTGGACATAAAATTAGATCTTCGATCTGTAATTAATCGAGCTGGAGGCCCGAATGTATAGACTAAGCATTTAAGGAATCGATCAATTACAACTTCAGTGATGATGGAAGGGATAGCTGTCGTGATTGCGAACTTACTGAAGGAGTCTTGCATTGTCAATGCGTATAAATTGTTACGACTGGAGCGGGGGAACGGACACATGATATCCATGTGGACCAGTTCAAATGGTTTAGTTGGTATGATGAATTTTCCACAGGGTTCCACAGTCTTATCATAAAGGTTAGTTTTCCTTTGAGCGCATTTCACGCAGTTCATAATGAATTTTGCAACCTCTTCTTGCATATTGGTCGGCTTCCTCTGCTTTCTCGGCTTCCTCTGCTTTCTCGATTTCCTTCATCACTTTATCTATCAAGGCTAAATCTTCTTCTGTTAATATTTCCCGCTCGACACTGCTTCCACTGCTTCCGCTTGTACTAACAGCGCTCCCGCTATAGGGTCCAATAACCTTTCTATGGGCCATTCTTTTTCTCCATTTCATTCCAGGGTTGCAGGTAACATGATGTGATGCCATTATTCCTTCCATCGTTTTAAGAAATTCTTTTATTTTAATTGCCTCCACACATTTGCGTTGCTGCTGAATATACTTTATTTCTCTGCTGCATTGCTGCTGGATCTGCATTATTTTTCTGTTGGAAGTTTCTCTGCATTCATTTCGTATTTTCTGCACATCTTGCACGAGATTCAACAAGAGGTCCATGAGGTACCTTGGATTGAATGGGGTGGGACAGCCAAAGTTGTTATACATAGCTGCCTTTTCACACAGATCTAACCTTAACAAACGAATTTTACAGAAGCTTTGCAATTTAAATTTAAAAAAAGGAAATAAAAATTAAAGCTGAAAACATCAGCCTGATAATAATTTGAAATAAAATGGCGCTAAAAACCTAATTTACATAACACTCTGCGCGTTACCGTATTCCTTCAGGATAAAGCTTTGATGCTTTGATATAAGCCCCCGACTATTAGGTTAATGATAGTCCCCGACTATCATTTCAAACACTTTTCTATTCTAATTTGGGGGCGTAGAATACAATGAGCTGGGTTTGGAGTTCTGAAAATGCCATTTAGGGTCATTTTTCATGACCTGTACCCAAGTACAACATCATCTATGAACTCATGAACCAGGGTACAGGTTATGAAAAATGACTCTACACATCTTCAGCATTGCATAGCATGAAGCGCTGACAGAATCAATCACTTATTGGATTATAAGGATCGGAGAGGCCCCCGAGAAAAGTTAGTCTCCGTGTAATTGTGTATATGCTTGAACCCAATTACATGATATGTATACTCACGTTCCGTCCGAGACTCAATTCATAACGACACGTAAGCTAAGAACACGAACACTGATATTACATCAAGCATGCGTCACTTAGACACAGCTGTTCTTAGCCGACGTGTCTTAACAACTATCCCTCACTAGAGATAGATCGAACTAACCTGTCAAGCTCGAAATGTGATAGCGAACGGTCGGCGACTCTCAGCTCTTGCTTCGACTCACCTCCCTATATTCAGTAGTTATCTTTCATACATTATGTAATCGTTATATCTTACT